AGTCAGGAGAGGCTTTCCTGGTGCAAACTACATTGTCAGCCACCCTTAAATGGCCTGTTAGTTGCTGCAGTTTAAAAAGGTCTATTGTCGGCACACACTACTGCCTCAGTAAAAATTTGGCCACATTACCCATATTTATAAACAAGCCTATGGAGTATGATCTATAAAACTGATAACAATTTGTTTCAGTTTGCCATCACATGTTTTATGTATAGAGTATCCAATGCTATTACCTATAATAAAAAAAAAATTGGTAGTCTACCAACCACTTATCTTTGTGTTTGGACACTCTTGTAAGAGGGACATTAATTTAAAGAAAGACAACAGGAGAACAACATGCATACCAACAACATGCCAGCTACAGACTACACTTAACTGTTCTTTAATGCAAATATCTAATAAGTCAATCACATGGCAGCAACTCAGTGAATTTAGGCATGTAGACATGGTCAAGATGGTTTGCTGAAGTCCAAACTGAGCATCAGAATGAATAAAAGTGATTTAAGTGACTTTGAATGTGACATGGTTGTTAGTGAGTATTTAAAAAACTGCTGATCTGCTGGGATTTGCTTATGTAGCCATCTCTATGACTTAGAGAAAATAGTCTGAAAAAGAGAAGATATAAATTGAGCATCACCACCTATAAGGGCGAAAATGCCTTGTTGATGCAAGACATCAGTGGAAAATGGACAGTCTGCTTAGAGCTGACAGGAAGGCAACAGTAACTCAAATAATCGGCCTTTGCTGTATGCAGAATTGCATCTGTGAATGTGCGACACATCAAATCTTGAAGAAGACGGTCTACAGCAGCAGAGGGCCACTCCTGTCAGCTAAGAACAGGAAACTGAGGCTACAGTTTGCATGGGATCACCAAAGCTGGACACCAGAACATTAGAAAACTGTTGCCTGGTCTGATAAGTCTTGGATTTCTGCTGTGACGTTTGGATGGTAGGGCTATAAACAACATGAAAGCATGGATCCATCTTGCCTTGTAATAAAGGTTAATGCTGCTGCTGCTGGTGTAATAGTGCTGGGGATAGTTTCCTGGCACATTTTCAGCTTTTTAGTACCAAATGAGCATCGTTTAAACACCACAGCCTACCTGAGTATTGCTGCTGATTTATGACCACAGTGTGTCCATCTTCTGATTGTTGCTTCCAGCAGCAGTATTTAAACTGATTTCCTTGACATGATAATGAATTCACTGTACTCAAATTTCCTCCACAGCCACCAGATCTCAATCCATTCGAGCATCTTTTGGTTGTGGTGGAATGGGAGAAGTTGAATTTATCATGTCAATAAGAACTCAAGTCTCTGAGGAATGTTTCCAACACCTTTTTGAATTTATTCTATGAAGAATAGGGCAGTTCTGAAAGCTAAAGGGATCCAGCGCAGTAGTAGCAATCATAGTAACAAAGAGGCCAGTGCATGTATTCGTATATAATTCGGGCAGGTCATAAACACAGCACCCTTCTGCACTTGTGGTATTACAACTTTTCATAGAAGTCCACCCAGGATGCTGTCTTTCAGTATGAATCAGTATTTCTAATAAAACATAATGTATCATTAAGTTTTATTTAACTACATACATGCACAAACATATAGCTTGAGATAAATACTGCTAAGATACACAGATATTAAACTCTCATGTCTTTGCATATTATACTGTACACACCCACCGAGAGAGAGCGACAGTAAAACATCTGCTCCTGCTATTATGAAAATGCTATAAAACAATTTGGCAGTGCACATAAAGCATTATGGCTGCGGTGGACGCAGGAAGGGATCAAATTGATAACAAACACTTTAGATAGCGACATGCACCATCACACAGAGGCAATCAGGCAAGCATATAAGTACCATGTACAACCACGCACACACACCAGTAGCGCACAACAGCTGTGGGACTCCTACTCCCAAGCTGACCCAGATCACTGATGCTAGGGATGAAGTCTAAGCTCTGAAACTAAAGGGGATGATCGGACAACAGCTAACCTAGTCGAGAACACACTCTTGAGCAGGTGGGTGTATCATCAGTCTACAACCGGAGTCTACAATCGAGAGATGGCTTCATGAATAGAAATAGAGTGGTTTACAACAGGGTGCAAATCACTGATTACACTCGAGAACAGGAAGGCCAAATTAGTCTTTGCCAGAAAACCTATAAGTGAGCATGCTCAGGAAATTAGACAGATGAATCCACAATTCACTTGTACCAGAATAATGGGGAGAGAAGATTATGAAAAAGAAGAGAAATAGCTCATAATCCGAAAAGTATCATTTTAGTGGAAGTGGTATGCTTTGAATGATGCCAGTGTTTATTGATAGAAGTAGCAAGATGAATTCTGAGGGATACAGGGCTGTACTCTGTGCTCCGGCTCAGACGAATGCTGCAAAACTGATCAGATGACACTTCACTTTTTTCATTCCAATATTAAAAATATCCTTTTTATGTTATGTTGTCCAATTTCTTTTGAGTATCTGAAAATGGGGGAGGGGCTTAAAAATATCTGAAATTCCTAAACAGCTTATGCAATACTTTTGATAAATCCCTTGAATTAAATCTGGAAGTCTGCACTTCAGTCACATCTTGCTCGTTTGATTTAAAATCCACTGTGGTGGCGTACAGAGGCCAACCTACAAAAACGCTTTGTCCAAAAACTAACTGCATTTAACTGCATGTTCACACAATTCAGACATGCAGGGATTTAGGCGGCACACAAGTGTACATCAGAGAGAATATGTGTATATTTATTATTTAAGTGAGACTTTTATTATTGGAGAAGCTACCACTTGTTCTTCTTTAGTTAACCAATCGAGTTAGCTCCTGGCTCAGTTTGTAATGTCATATTCTTGTTTTTATCTGTGCAGGTGACAATAAAGGAATCTGAAGGTCTTATAAAATGCACTTTTCTATCCAAAATTCATTTTTTTCTAATCTCAATTTTAAATGTAGCTTGCCATCCTTACTTTATGATTTACATGCTAAACACACTTCTACTAACACTACGATACTAGAGCAGATATCCCCAAAGAAAGTATTACTCACCTGTGCTCCTGCAGAGTTGGCCAGCCTGTGTTTGAAGAGTGAAAGACTGAGACTAGGAAGGTGAGAAGAATTACACAAATATTTTCTTGAAATTTAAAGTAGACCACTGCACAATATCTTCCTTTTGAGAATACAGCACTGACAAAAGTGATCTGGAGTCCCTATACAAATCAGAGACTCCGCCTCTCTGGGCAAGGGCGCACACACACACACACACACACACCAGAAGTCATTGATTACTCTAGGCCAGGGCTAATAGTCAGCCCTTACATTTAGCTCCATCAGCTAAAGCAATGGTCTGGAACCTCCGAGTCTTAGAAAAAAGAATATGTGTGCATGTATGGGCGTCATCCCTTAATAAAAATGTACTCATAAAAGGTCTTAAAAATATTATCCATCCACCCTGACATTCACAAAGATCACCATTAACTCTTTTATTTGAATCAAAGTTTACCTGATTTTGAACTCTGCTTTGAATAAATGAATCCGCTACGCCGCTACTGAAGTTAATGGTAAGTAGAATCCATGACATGCCAAGGCTGGCTGAGGAGAGGAAGCAGGAAGGGAGAGGAGAGGAAGCCTAGTTTTCCCACACTAATCTACTTGGAGGGAGAGCGCA